AACAACAAAAAAACCCCAAAAAACAACAAACAGTGGCTTTTTATAGAAGTCTTTTTGGCAACAGAGGGCGTGGAAATATTGCAAATACTTCAGGAGTCAGAGGACGTTCTGTCCTGGAGCGGGGAGCGTTTGGAGAAGGAATAAAAAAAAAAAGGTAAGGTCACATTTGGCACTGGGACGGTGTCACCTTCCCTGGGCTGGGCTGGGCTGGCATCCTGCCACTCCCAAATGCCACTGCCACCTCGGCTCAGGTTGCATTTGGTGGCTGGAGGCTGAGGCAGGGAAGGCTGGCAGTCACCTTCCTTATTTTTGGGATGATGGGAAGCAGCTCATCACCCTCATGGGACTCTCTGCACCCCCAGCTCCACAAGCTCCTCAGGATCACACCATTCTCCCTCACCCTGTGCAAGAAGGGGAGCTGGGGACCAGAGCAAGATGGAATGTGGGCATGGAAATGCCACAGCTGGGCACAGGATGCTCCCCAGACTCGGTTTTCCAAAACAGGTGACTAATTCACATGGATTACGAAGCAGGAGCTGGGTGTGAGGCTCCACCAGACTCTGGGGAAATAAAGGAGGCTGAAGGCAATTTCTCTGTCTTACACAGCCTCAGGGTGGGTAGGGAGAGATTGGTCATGAATTTTGGAGTGTTTCCTCACAGAGCTTCCTCCTCCCAGCTCTGGCACTGAGTTGTTCTCTCTGTGCTCCCATGAATACCAACCAGAATTTTCCCTGCTCCTCTTCTCAGGCTGGAGGGCAGCAGAGGTCCCAAATCTTCACAGTCAGGAGAAGAGGAGAAGGATGGGAGCTTTTCTGCTGTCACAGCATCTCCCCTCACCCTGCAGCTCCAACATAAGTCGTGTCCCCAGGAGAAGGAGCATTGCTGGGGCAGGAAACGCCGAGGCCTGGGAAAAAACTCTCACTGTTTCATCTTGCTGTTTGCTTTTCCTGTCCCATGTGCCCAGAAGCAGCAGCAGAGCCTGCCTGGAGTCCCTTGGAGCTCCTGGGATACGTGGAAAAAAATACAGGCAGAATGCTGGAAGGAAGCAGCTGTAAGGCATCCACTGGGCTGGAATCAAGTGAAGCCATCCCAGAATCCCAGAACAGTTTGGGTTGGAAGGGATCTTAAAGATCATCCAGTTCCCTGCCATGGGCAAAGACATCTTCCACTACCCCAGGCTGCTCCAAGCCCTGTCCAGCCTGGCCTTGGACACTTCCAGGGATCCAGGGGCAGCCACAGCTTCTCTGGGCACCCTGTGCCTCACTGCCCTCACAGCTGAGAATTCCTTCCTGTTCATGTAGGAAAAGAGGATTTTTCTATTTGTTGTTATGTTGGATGATGGGTGAGCATCTCCTACCCCCCCAAATCCCACTTTCAGTGAGGATATTCCCACTCACACCAATAAAATGCTGAGTGCAGCTGATACCTCAAGTTTCAGCTTTTGTGTTTTTCAGATTCTGAGCTGCTTTAGTGTGTGGGGCTGGGTTCACATCAGGGCATGGTGAGCTCTGTGCACAGAGCAGGGAGACAAAACAATTCCTGCTCCAGCTGGGCACCAAGGACAAATGATCCAAATCTCAGCCCAGGAGCACAAACCCCGTGGGCTGCAGAGAGAAAAACAAGCAGGATGGGAGTGCAGGGGCTGAGCTGGAATTGGACACTGAACTGCAATGTGCACATGGTGCAGAGCTGATCCCAGGGAGAGACCCCGGGAGCGCTCGTGCATTTTGGGACCATTTGGGTTCATCTTGGGGGCAGCCCTGGCTGGGCTCTGGTGCTGCCCAAGGTGGATCCATGGAGGAGATCCTTGGAATCAATTCCTGCTTTATTCTTTAACTCCATCCAGCCTCTGCTCTAGGTCAGCCTTCTCAAGGCATCACAGCCCATCAAATCTGCAGTTGGATATTTGATGGGAAGTTTTCTGGGTGGAATTATCTCCCAGTGGGATGATGAGAGCAGGGACCATAGGAGCATCCCATCCCAACCCCCGTGTCCCACTGCCAGCCAGGCGGGAAGCACAAATCCCTGCTGCTGAGGGAAAAAGAAGAAAAAAAAAAAGTGAAGTTTTACTTTCTCTTTCTCTGCTCTTTAATTGCAGATCAAAGCTGGCCCTTCAGGCTGGAGCTGCCTGCCAGCAGCTGCTCCTGGGCAGGATTCCAGGCCACCCTTTGGATGAGGGCTGCCCATCCCATGCACTGCCCGCTCCTCTCCTCGTGCCTGCTGGGGTCAATCCCTGCCTCTAACCCTCCTGAGTGGCTGCTGTGGGAATCGAGGGGCTGCAATCCAGCCACTAGGAGTGAGATTGGGGTTTTTTCCGGCTTCACACGACCTCCAGGAAAGTGAGGGATGTGTGAGTGGCTCCAGCATCTTCCCACAGGCACCTCCTGGGAGCCCTGGGGAGCTGCCCTTTGGAATAACTTCCCTCTGCACAAGAACAGAGACTTCTCTTTAAAAATCAAGCAAGCTCTGCAAGGGTCACACCTCTGGGTAACAATTTAAAGGGAACAGAAGCAAAGGACAGCTTTCAATAATTCATCCATGGGTACTCCTGTGTGTGTAGTGCAGATTTTGTAAATGCAAAGGGACCCAGTCAGGGTCCTGAGAATATCAGGAATTACTTCAATTACTCACTGGTGATGCTTTGTGCTGGAGTTACTGAGGTGTGTAATTAAATGATGCAGGGGCAACGACAGCAAACAGGTACAGCCAAAATATCAGCAACTCCCAGGCACAGCTCTGTCCTAAGTTCCCTGGAGCTCAGAAATCAAGGGATTTCAGAGACAAGGACTATGCTGGGATCACTTTCCCTTCCACCTTGAAATATCTGCTCAGTTTTCCTTGGAGAGAGAATCAGCTTGGTTAAGATGGAATATGAGAGCTCTGTGCAGGGATGCTGAGGAGGACAGGGAAAGGTAATGAAGAAAAATAGGGCAGGAAAACACAAATGGGGAGGGAAAAAGGAGAATCATAGAATCACAAAATCACAGAATAGTTTAGGTTGGAGGGGACCTTAAAGATCATCCCATTCCAACGCCCTGCCAGGGACACCTTCCACTACCCCAGGGTGCTCCAAGGTCTGTCCAGCCTGGCCTTGGGACACTTCCAGGGATGGGACAGTCACAGCTTCTCTGAGCCTCCCTCTCAGCCAAGATTTTGATCCTAAAATGTAATATATATGTATAAAATATATGGGTTTTTACATTAATGTATAATACACTTAATATATATTATATATATAAAGTATATAAATGTTAAAACACATTAGATAGGACATCTATAAGTATTTCGACATCTATAGGGGCATTTTAGCACTTACATAAAATGTATTTGTACATCATTTGCATTTATACCTCTGTGGTTCTGGGAAGAGCATCCCAGCCCCTCCAGCTCCAGCACTTCTGCATCCCCACATCCCAATCCCTTTTCCCACAAGCTGATGCCAAGCCCATGTATCATCTTCCCAGTAGCTCTGCTGAACATCTGGCTCCCAGTAAACACAACTGGGAGGGCTAAACAACTCAATCACTGCAGCTTGTGTCTGTCCTCCAACAGCTCAGGCTGCTGAGAGGCACTCAAAGGAAAGTGAAATTTCCAGTAAAAGCCCTGCTTCCCCCAAAATCAGGAACTTCATTCCAGTACTTCAGAGGCTGCAGAAGGGAAGCCAGCACCACCCTTGATGGATGTGTCCCTGCTGCCTGCTCACAGCTCCAACCTCTGCTATCCCAGAGGCTTCTCCTCCCTCCCAAACCTTTAAATATCAGGATTATTCTGCTGGTTTGGTCATAAATACACCAAAAACTCTGAAGTTGGAAGAAAAGGCTGCTTCAGGCCCACATAAGGTTCTGACAGCATCAGTGACAGATCTCTTGTCCCGTGATGAACCATATCAGAATTTCCTGACGTGAGTCACTGCTGAGGAGATTCATCAGCGTCCAAGCCTGGGACCTCCCTGTCTAGCACGACATCCCAAATGCCCAAATGGGGGTGGGGGAAGCAAAATCCACTCAGAAATAACGCTGGCTAAGCCTTTTCTATTTTAAGGAGAAATTGCCCAATATTTACGTTTTAAAAAAACCCCAACAAAACAGGAAAGCAACAGCAAAGATCAGTAACCAGCTAAAAATACCAACCAAACCACAGATGTGCTGGACACTGCACGTAGGGATGAGCCCTTCCTGCCTCCCCAAACAACTGGGTCAGCCAAGAGTAACCTCAGCTGCCTTATGAGAGCAGGAATAGATTTGCTACAGATGAGGATGGGTTGCAGGATCTTTTGGGAGGGGAGAATTCCAGCATGGAGTGCTTCCTGGAGCTCCTTGGGGTGGGGTTTCCATCTCCTCCCTGGGTTTTTTTTTTGGTGGGCAGGAAGAAACACTGGGGTTTGGGATGAGGAATTTGTGAAGATGGGTAAAAAATTATACCAGGTAGGGAATGATTCCTCCTTTCTCATGGGCTTCTCCTCCACCAGGAAATGAGGGTGAAGAGGAGACAGCAAGACTCGGTTCCTTCCCTCCACCAGACAGTTTTACAGTGGAGCATCACCACTTAATCTCTAATATGATTTTCCACTAGAAGACACCCCACAGGGCTGGCAGATCTCCCATTTCAGGGTTTGTTTTTCATCCAGCACATAAATTTGCAGGGGGAAAAAAAAAATCACAACCAGTCTGAATATCAAGCAGGGCTGGTACTGCCTCGCCTGTGACAAACCTGAGGACAGCTCTGCTATGGAAGAGAATTCAGCACAAAAAAATGCATTTTTTAATCACTTTCTGGCTCAACTGGTCCTGTTGTTGACATATTTACCCACAAAAGAGCACATCTGGAAGGAAAAAGGAAGGACATCTGGGTTGTTTGATGTCCAAGCAACTCCTGAGCGCTCAAAGCCAGAAAACACCAAGGATTTATCAAATTTACAGGACAAGCACGTGCACCAGAGGAGAGGCAGGAGCCAAACCGACCAGGAAGCTCCTCATGGGGGGAGGTTTTTCACCACTTACTGAAGGTTTTGCAGATGTCAGAAACAGCCTTGAAGACCCTGTCGGAGAAGTTGACTTTGACCTTGACGTACTTCATGTTGGGCAGCTGCAGGCGCAGCAGCTTGTGCTGGGGGGTGAACTGGAGCTTGGCATCCGCCTGGATCCCGTATTTATCCAACGTCCAGTGAGTTTTAAGGAGCCAAGTTTTCTTCTTTTCCCACCACAGCGCGTGATCCGACCAGTCCTTCTTGACGTCTGCAACAAAGAAGCCGTTTTTTCCCCCAGTTAAAAGCGGCACCAGAAGGAGCCTTTGGAGGACAAAGGAAGTTTTAAAGTGTGCCTAGCTGGGAAGGAACTATGGACCCAAAAAACTCCAACAGCCCCTTCTGGATACAAGGAACTGCTTGTATTCAATGCTGTTTGGATGGGATACAAAAGCAGGGAAGAATCCAAGGGAATAAAGATGAGACTCAACGTGTCCAGGGATCACCAGCCTGGCAGTGATCCCGTCTGAACACGAAGCCAAGTGGACCCAACACCTCCCCCAGCAGGGATTTTGCACAGTTTTTGGGGTTACCTATCAATTCTTGGGTTTTTCCCCACCATCCAGGATACCTGTGCTATCCAAAGGTGAGCCCAACAACCTCGGCACACATGGAAAACAGAACCAGGAGGAGGTTTGCAAGGAGAATTCAACAGGACTTTCAGCTTCTACAAAAAAACCCTGAAAATTCCCAACTGAAACTAAAAGTTGCCTCCCAAACGACCAAGAAAACTCAACAGCCACATCTCCTTCCAGCAGGGATGTAACCATGGAGTCCCTGGAGGTCACCTTCAGGTTGGAAAGCATTTGGGGAACCAAAGTATGGTGATAACTCCAAAAGATAAACCCTGTGCAATATTTTCCCTAACACCTGGAATATTTTTCACTAGCACCTGGCCCTGCCATTCCTGCAGAGCATTTTCCACTCTGACAACCAATAACAGTGCCACATCCTTCCACCACACACAGAAAAGAGAATGGAGTGATATATAATATAGTAATATATTTAGTAATAGAATAATTCAGTTTTCAGCTCCAGATCCCCCTGTGATCCTGGATTTCCATCACGAAATACCAGTTTAACCCCAATTAAAACCACCAGCTGGCATTTATTCCAACAGCTCCTGTCTCCATCCTTCAGCACCACAGGGCACCAGCCAGAAAGGCAGGAGCAATTCCAGAGGATTGGAGAATTTCCAGGATTAGGTAAAGTCCCAGCAGGCACAATGCCAAAGGGACTGAAGGAACACAATCCAGCACCAACATCATGCTGGGATTCTTGATGTCCTGTACAGGAGCTGGACTGGATGATCCTCGTGGTTCCTCCCAGCTCAGACATTCCACGATCCTGTGACAGTGAAGATTATCCCCACGAGCCACATCTGAATTAAGCTGAGATGAGAACAATGTGACAAATGAACTTTTGTCTGTCCCTATCTCAAACCAGGACCTGGAGCTCAGGGTTACTGAGAAAACCCAGCAGGAGCTGGATTTTCCCTCTGAACTCCTGGTTTAGTGGCACAATCAGCTCTGCAGAAAGTGGAAACATTCAGCTGGACTTTTCAACAGCTTTGTACAATCAAATTAAACAAAACCAAATATAGAAAAGCATGCAAACTTGCACAAGCCTTGTCTACCCGGAAAAAAATCCAAGAAATCATTACAATGGACTCTGGTAATGAAGTCCAACTTCTGCCCTACTGAAAGCTGAACGAGTTGGCACCAAAAATCAGGGGGAGGAAAAAACCAAAGGCATTTGGAATCAGTAACATTTATGCCTAACAGAAGGGGATTTGGGTTTACACTGCTGATTAACCATTCAGGCCACGGCACAAAAACAACACTCTGGGCCTGAGAGCAATTAACACTTTCAATTAACAGTGAGCTGTTGGTTCTAGCAGGAAGGGGAAGGTCTGTGCCTGTCCCACGGGGTAGTTATACATAAAAGAGGCTGGCAAATGTTTAGCAGCTGCTTTGTGGAGCTGAGTTTTACACACTGACAAGAGCCTTGGGTGCTTTGCAAGGGACCCAGGACTGCTTGGAGCAATCCCTGCAGGCCAGGGAATGCCAGCAGCCTGGTTAAATGTGACCAAAGGTTTACAAACCTTCACCAGAGTCCCAGTTCACCAGTTACTGATTTGTTAGGGTTCCAGCTTCACAGCGAGGCTGAATATTTCAGCTCAGGCTCTTCCCACCTACTACCATCAGTCATTGCTCACTTCATATTTATCCACCTATCATATTCATCAACTTATTCATATTTGACAACTATGATCAATTTATCAGCTGGCCAATCCTCTATCAGAGCTCAGTAAGTCTCCAAGTACTGCAAGTTCACCTTAGAGATCCCAGACCTGGAATTTAGAAGTTTACTACAGGCTGCAGATCTCAGAGATGTTTGTAGATCCAGCAGCTCCTCTGAGCTGCTGAATGTGACAGACACGGAGCTGCTGGAGGGAGTCCAGAGCAGGGTGACAGGATGAGCAGAGGGATGGAGCACCTCTGTGTGAGGAAAAGCTGGCACAGCTGGGATTGCTCAGCCTGGAGAAAAGCAGCTTTGAGTTGACCTTCCAGTGTCTGAGGAAGCCACAAGAAAGATGGGGAGAGGCTATTTACAGGGGATGGAGGGACAGGACACAGGGAATGGCTTCCCAGTGCCAGAGGGCAGGGATGGATGGGAGACTGGGAGGAATTCTTCCCTGGGAGGGTGGTGAGGCCCTGGGACAGGGTGCTCAGAGCAGCTGCGGCTGTCCCTGGATCCCTGGAAGTGTCCAAGGTGAGGTTGGACAGGGCTTGGAGCAGCCTGGGATCGGGGAAGGTGTCCCTGCACATGAGGGTGGAACTGGATGGACTCTGAGCTCTCTTCCAAGCCAAACCCTTCCAGGATTCCATTAAACGAGCTGCACACATGTAAGGGTGACAGGAAATCACTGCCAGACACGGAACCCCCGGGTGAAGGCAGCAGGGATGTGGCAGCTGGAGCTGTCAGCATCAGCTGGAGCCTGGGCTGGGCTCAGGGAGCTCCAGGAGCCAACCCCAGCAGCAACACCCTCGGGAAAGGGAAGCACAGCACTTCCTTCCCGGCCTCCAAAATAAACCCCCATCTTTCCCTGCAGCCTGAACCAAACCCCTGGAGCCTGCGAGGGCTGGCAAACCCAGCTGTGATTTTTAAAAATTTTTTATTTATTTATTTTTTCCAGGCAGAACCTGGTGTTGCATTTGCCTCCCAGAACTGTGCCAAGAGGCAGGAACGTGCACGAGGGACGTTCGGGATGTTTTGTACAGCAAAACCCACGGGGCTGTTCCCCTTGGAAAGCCATTCAGACAGCCCTGGGAATGTGAGAGGCATCTTAAATCACACAAATGGCTGCAGAGACCTCTGTGAGGACAGAACAGCCAGAGAAGGAGTGAAGGGCTGCTCTCTGAAGTGTTTTAAACCTGAAACATCCTCAGCTTTCAATCCACGCCGGCGCCTGGCCGCAGTCACATCCAGCCAGCTTGTCCAGCATGAATTACAATTGCAGATTTGAATTCCCACAGCCACCACTAAATTCCCTGAAATCCAGCATCCAAGCAGCAGTAAGTGTGAATTGAGATGCACACGGGGTGTGCTTTAATTCTGGGCTGGCTGTCGCACACAGAGCCACAAACACAATCAGAATTCCAGCAGCAAGGCTGAATCTGGGTGAAGGGCAAAGAAAATCAAGGCAGCCCTGCCTGGCAGCCCATTTATCCCATTTATCCCATGTGGGAAATGCATTTGTAGAAAATTTTTAAAATTTGGTAGAAGACTCACATAATATATATTTGCATGTAAATGTTTGAGATAAGAAATGTTATGGAATGGGATAGAGATTGTTGAGAGGGAAATGGAACCAGTGGAACTAATGGAACGAGTAAGTCTTAAAGGGTGGTTTTGTAAATAAGATTAGGTATTTTGGAGAAACAGAATTATGAAAGATGTATAGTACTAGGACTTATGAGGGGTAATTTTAGATTATTTGCTTTAAGGCATTTATGGCATGGTGTAACAAAAACTGATAGGCCAAGAAACACCTAAAATATATTATAATTAGGAAATACTTGGCTTCTGATTGTGATGGTATGAATTATAACGTCTGTATTGTCTCACCCTTCTCATGAGACTGAAAACAGAATAAAAGCTCTAAAACACCTCTCAGCTTCCCCATCTCTGGGTCAGAAAAGGGCACAATCCAGCAATCCCATTTATCCCAGGACTTGGCTGCTCCCAAACACTCTCCCTCTGCCAGTCCATGGTTTTTTGAAGTCCCTTTCCTGCTGCAGCAGCTATTGAAGCTCTTTCCTGCAGAAGCTCTGCTGTCACTTGGCAGCTTCTCCAGGCCAGCTTAGGACTCACAAGCAGTAGGATACAAGTCTCCAGCGCTGTGTAAACACTGTATTTTCCTTGTTATTTCGGGATATCCCCTGTTGCAGATGGGCTCTCCTTCCATGCACTGCTCAGGAGAACACAGCTCTGATATGAATGAATCAATCTCTTTTTTCCCCCCTTCCCAGTGCATGGTTAAATCCCACTGGATGGGTGTTTGGAAGGCAGGGGTGGCTCCCACCTCTGGGAGAGGCTTTCTTGGGAATCACCAGATTCCCTTTCACACCCACATTTAGGATTAAATCCACAGGGCAGCCAAGACCCTGCAAATGCCTCCATCACCTTAACATTGGGGGTTAGTAACAAAGAATTAAATAGCTCCTGCATAGGCTTGAGGAGGAGTTCTGCAAGCCTGCCTGGGTTGGATCATGGATTTTTGGTGGATTTTTGGAAACAGAGGATTTGCAGCTGATGCTGTTTTCCCTGGAATTCTCTCCACCTTCAGAGAGGCAGCTGCAGCAGCTGCAGCAGAGGTTGCAGCTCATTCCTTAATTAAAATGATGGCTTTTAGAGGAATGGATTCAAGTCTTCAGCATTCCCACAGGAACAGGTCAAGAGGACCATCCCCCTCTGAAGCAAAAGCCCAAAACACTGTGGGGGGGTTTCCACAGGCGCAGAATGAGCTCCACAGCTTTCCCTGGCTCTTTCCCAGGGGTGGGTTTAATCAGGATTATCCCTGCTCTGGTTTAAGCACACTTGGGAAAAAAAAATGCCTTTCCATTATCTCAAATTTATCTGTATAAAAATAATTTAAAAAACAAATATATAGGCTTAAACATATTTTATATACATATATATATAAAA